CCCCCCCCCCCCCCCCCCCAGCGCTCCTGGGTCTTCATCGCATATTCACGATCAAAATTATATATATGATCGGTTTCCTTTTCCCCCCACAGTTCTCCATCCTTTCTTTTTTCTGTCCCCCCAGAACTACAAAAATACAATTGCCTCCATGTGTATGTGTGCGTACAAATTAGTACAGAAGCATTGCACAAAAAGAGTAAAACAAATGCAGGCAAATACATGTATATAATTTAATAAAACAAATATACACGCATACAAATATTATATATAATATATTGCTCGTGTTTGTATAATTATCTAAGCATGCATGCATCCAATTCACCGTTTCACCTATAAAAAATTGGCCCTGGTCTATAAGCGGTGACATTTTTTTTTCTTTTTTTCTTTTTTGCTTTTCACTCCCTTTTGCTTAAACACAAATACATACACAAACAAAAAAAAAGGATTTATTTTATTTCTTTTGGACGAAGAAATGAGGGAAAGGGGATTGGGAGAGCAGCGGGGCAGACCCCTTCCCCCCCCCCCCTTCCACACACACACACACACACCTCATCTACTGTCGTCCCTCTCCCGTTTACTTTTTTTTTCTTTTTTATTATTATGGTGCATTGCCTTGTTCACTTCATGTTACCTATGCGTTGTTGTCTTGCCAAGCTCCTCGGAAAGGCGCAACTTCAGCAAACGCCTAAAAAACGGCACTGCCTCGCCGCGACGAATGGTGAACTCGCCGCTTGCAATTTCCCGCGGGACAGTAAACGTCATCTTTAGCCTCTTGCCACTGTTCTTCTCTTCGGGACTGCCGCCACCGCGCAGATGCATTTGAAGACGGTTCTCAACAACGGCATTATTTTCATTGCCACTCTGAACAGGAATCAAAGTGCGGGTCTCCACCTGTGGCGGGGTGTTATTAACACCCAAGTTGCCATTATTGCCCTTTTTGTCGTTGCTGCCCGCGGCAACAGAAGACGTGTTGGTCGTGATGGCAACTTGGGGCTTCAGCGAAACAGGGGATGGACGGGCATCTTTTTGCTCCTCCGGGACTGTCGGTGGCGTGATGGATGCGGCGTCGCTATGCTCTGGCGAAGCCTTGAGTTTCCCAACGAGATCCGATAGTCTTATCCCGCCAGCACCACCGGATATTGTGACTGCGGCAGATGCTGGCGCCATCCCAGTCACCGTCTTCGACACTGACGCGTCTTCCGTTGCGCTGCGCGGCTTTGGAATGACCGAAACGCTCTCGGCCATCGGCACTGAACCCCTTTTCTGCTGCTGTTGTTGTTGTTGTTGCTGTTGCTGTTGTTGTTGAGACTTCTGCATAAGGGCCCTAAGGATGGACACGGTGGTGCGTTCCGACTCCGTCGCGGCCCCGCCGCCATCATCATCCCCAGGCCTGTTGAGCACAAGCAGCGAGGACAACTTTGACAGACCACCGCGCGGCTGCCGCAGCCGGCCATCAAAGTGACTTCCGCCTGTGAATGGTTCATCGTAAACCACCTCTGCATCGTGGCTTGTGGCAAGTAGCCTAACTATTGTGCCTACCGCACCAAACGGAACAGAACCGACGGCTCGGCAGTTGACGACGCGTGCCCCGAGACGGAATATCTGATCCTGCGGCAGCGGCAGCTGGGTAATGTGGCCACCGCTGCTATGCGTGAGCGGGAAGTACAAGTGGCGTTTCACAACAGGATTTAGTATAAGCTCCTTTGTGGGGCGCGGCTGTTGTCGGTCAAGCTCATCCTCCAAATCCCGCAGGTGGTCGCGAGTAAAGGCATCGTCGCTGGCCGCGATAAGTGCCACGTCACGGATGCCAGAGGCATCAATGAAGGCCTCCATCTCTGTAAGCACATCATCCACCTCCATCTCCTGCCATTTTCCGGTCATAAACTGGGGCGGCTCCAGGGCCTGTGGAGCGGCGGTCCCACTTTCCAGTCGCTTAACAAGTGGTTGGAATTCCTGCACATATCGACGAATTAGCGCAACTGCTTCACGCGAGAACCACGTTGTGTATTGTGGCGTGCGGCTTGAGCGGCCAAGAAGTCGCCCTTGCCGGCACTATCCAAGTAGTGGGC